AGGAGGGGTCCCGAAGGCTTCCAGGCTTTTGCCTGGAAGCCTTCGGGATCCCCAACCCACCCTGTCCCTGCCAGTTTTTAGTCCATTGGAACTCATTAACCAGGTTTTAATGCGTTTCAATGGGCTATTTAATTTCGCTTTACGATGTTTCCGTATAGTGACGTTAATCCTGGAACGGATTAACGTCGCTATACGGGGCACCACTGTATAGTACTTTAAGACAATGTCAGCAGCTTGGTTTTTTAAAATAAGGTTTCAACCGCTGTTAAAGCTATTAAACACAAAAAAACCCCACAATTTTTTGCCATCTATTTATTATTTTTCTTGTGATTGTTGCTTGAGGATTTGCAGTGGATATACATGCATATTTACTTGGAATGAAGCCTCATCATGCTCATTACAATTTATTTCCAAGTGTACATGCAAAAGGTTACACTGAAGCCTTGCAAAACAATCTTACTGGTAGATGGGGAGATCCACAGTAGTTTGAAAGCTTTCATAGTCTGCTGTAAACTAATTGTGATTTTTCTCTGTGTACTGTCAATTTGATCAAGCCAATTTCATGGCAACCAGCGAACTCCAGTAAAGAAGCATCAATTTTCTAACAGAACAAGATCTGCAAGAATTGCATATTGGGCCTTTAGCACCTTTCATAAGAGATGAATCTCCTATAACTCTTACATTATTGTTGTCATGGACTCCCTGTTCTCTTTTATACTTCACAGGCTGGCTTTGCTTCCCTTCGAGAATTACAGCAGCATTTAAAACTCAAAGAAAAGGTCCTGATGGAAAGTTGTAGTGCATTAATCGACATGGCTCAAGGTCGGACACATAGACTTCCAAGTGCAATGAAGGTAACATTCATTAAGGTATTTGGTTAAAAGATTATATCAAGCATTCTAGGAGTTTGTTCACATTGTTTTATAGCAGGTAGCACCACAGTTCCTCAATGCTGTACACAAGAGTCCTTTAGTGGTAATCAGTGGTAGTCATTGTAAGAAATTATTTCCACTATAGTTTTAACTGCTTTTAAAGACAATGGTCTAATCAATAAGAATGATTTGATGCGTTTCTCTTTCTCTGTTAAAGTAAAGGTCCAATAGATATGGCTTTGGCCTCTGCTTGTCCAGGAAATAGGAGAGGATGAGGTGGTTTTTCTCTTGAATACCCATTTGTAGTTTGGGAATACTTATAGGTTAAATTCTAAAACTTGTCCAGGATTTCAACAGACGTGTGTGCTGACATCTTAGTCTTGTGTACCAACTGTACCTATTCCTGAAGTTGTTGGATCTGGCTGTGGGGTGTCACATACCTTAGATACATCCTGTCTGGGCTACTGTAACATGCTCTGCCCAGGGTTGCCTTTGCATTTAAAAAAACTTAAAAGGAGGCAGTTCCCCCCCCCCCCCTCCTGTTATGATGAGAGTCATATTTGGTGGGGATCTGAAAGACGTCCTTCTTGCTGGCTGCTTTTAGTTTATGGAACTCATTTCTAAGGGAAACAAAACTAGGCTAGCCATGCCTGTGCTGTACTTTTGTCATGATGTAGTAAGTATAAACCATCATTTAGCCAAAAATTATGCGGCAAACAGTGTTTTTCCCAGTCTTAGGATTCTTCTTCTGCAAAAAAACACACCCCTCTTCAGCTGTATTTGTACGTATATTTTTATGTAAGGAAGGCCTTGTTTCTCTCTGGGATGAAACAGAGACTGTGTTTGATAATGACATATCAACCCCATGTGCCAGTGAAGAGCAACTGGTAGAAAAGCTGTGGTACCATGTAGTGGAGGACAACTTAGTCGTTGGAGTACAGCTAAAGGAAGCGCTTGATTTGTAAGTAGTTTGAATTAAGTATTTTTTTAAAAGGAATATAGAATTTAAAAATTATTCTAAAAATAAACAAGACCATAGGTTTCTTATTGATATATGATAAAAATGTGAAGTACATAATATATTTTGTGCATTTGGTATAAAGTTAATTTGAAGAGGTGATAAATTATAGGTACATAAAATACAAAGTCATATTGCAGTGCCAAAAATGTTGTTTCGGTGTGTGCATTGTGCTTTTTATTTTTTAAACAGGCTACTCAGTGATGTCACTTTATCGCTGATAATGCATCAGAAATGCCCTTCATTTTCTCCAACTAAGTGCAAATGTAATGCTGTTACTTTGAAGAAAGCTGCACTGGTAGAGTGTACATCACATTGGCAAGTGGAACCGCTGCCTAAAAGGGTCAAGTTAGATTGCCATAATGGAAAAGAACACGATGGAGGACCTTCTCAAGTGAACGCAGAGAGAATAAAAACCTTCACTGCAGTCACCCACCTCTCCCCTTTCTTAGCATTGCACCGAGTACACTGTACAGTATTGCTGCATGCAAAAAAGAAAAGTTGCAATGAGGAAAATCTGCTGAAAAACAAAAAACTGAATTTATTATGTGGTAATATTTTCTTAAGTCTGGCAGAGATTTCCAGAGGAAAATACTCAATAAATCTGAAAGATTTTAAATATACAGGTAATTTGAAACGTTATGCAAGTACTGTATTAATCTATCTTTTCCATTACTATTGCTGTTATCAGGAACTAATAGTTGTAGTGCTCCTTGCTACGAGTATATTATCCAAAGTATTCATTATAAGTAGAAATTGTTAACTTTAAATTACTGAATGTTGTTTGTAAAACAGAATTCTTGAAGTCTGTCTCTAGATTTTTATCCTGCTACATAGAGACTGGATAGCTGTTATTTACATTAGAACGAACCCAAAGTAAGTTGAAGTAAAGCAGTATTCTTACCTGCTCCTCAACCTCCACTTTGCATTTTTGGAAGGGGGTCTAGGGTTTGTGGAAAAATGTTCTGACTTTGATAAGGGAAAATGACGTCAGAATTCTGGAGCAGCCTTTAGAACACCAAGTGTTTTCTCTTTGCTGACGCTCAAGATGGTATGTAGCATGTGGAAAGGAATCTTATCTCTGGACAAGCAATGCTCTGTAATGAATAATTTTACAAAGTAGTTTGTTGGCTTTAAAATATTTTCTCAGTGCACAGAAAAGTCTAGGGGGGGAAAGACCAGCAAAAAACCTCCAGTGTCCTCTTATCAGAAAACAGAGAAGCTCAAATAAGTACAGTGTCTAATTATGGGCTTCCTTAATTGACGAAAGAGAGGTGTGAATGCTTTAAATAGTTTGCGCAATACTTTTACACCTAATGATTTTCTATCCTTCCTTCAGGCTCGATGATGGATCTTGTTTCACTTTGTGCAGTATCACATAAGCTGTCACTGCAAATAACTTCCCCCAACTGCACTCTGAATCCCATAAGCACATGGTTACAGGATCAAATGGAGTGTGCACCAATCAAGGAATTTCCTGACCATATGATATGTTGTAGGTCTGGAGATCTGAATGGTACTCTTTTCAAGTGGAATCTAAATACCCCTTTTGAAGCAATTTTAACAGTGTTTTGCAGGTAATAGCAGTTGAAAGACTGGGAATTCTCTTTGTCCTGCTTATAAAATGAGTCTTGTGGGCATAGTATTCTCAAATACCTTGCTAGTAGAACAGTGTAAGATGAATAGGCAGTTGTCTTCTCTCTTGTAGGCATTTCACCGATCTTCATCCATGAACAGAGAAAAGGCTTGCAGCGATGTTTAAAGCAAACTTTGAAATGGAGTTAATATTAAACTTGAAATAAAAGACATTAAAGAATTTTCAGAACTGACATTGCTGTCTACCTTTTAAAGCAGACTGTGCTCCACTTTGAGTGGGGAAGTGTCCAGTTGTGTAATCCCATGCTCAAGAAACTGGGAGGGAAGAACTGGTTTATGTGTCCAGCAAACCAGGTGAAAAGCACAACCAAACTAGTGGGCGCAACCAAATAAAATTGGGGGGCATAACAAACCTGATTTCCTCTAAATTTTTGTCCAGTTTTCTTCCAGAAGATTTTTCACCAGTCTGGGTAAAGCATATCGTTCAATTCAGATGTTCACTGTCAATGTAACTAGCTTTTAAAAGCAAGAAAATGTCAAGTTATGAAACACACTTTTGTTATATCCTGATCCACCAGTGCTGTTCTGCTCTGTGGATTCAGTTAACTGAATATTCACATACCTTCCTTTTCATATCTCTATTACTACAGAATGTATTAGGCTTTTTATTGTGTATTCATTTTGATTTTGAGTACAGTATTTAGATATAGAGGTCAAAGATTCATGTTATTTAAGCAATCAGTGCAGACATTGTTGCATTTAGAGTTGTGCACCTTTGTTACATTATAGATAATAGCTAAAATCCTGTTACATAGTTACACCTGTATAAGGCAAATTTATTTATTTGATTTATTTATTTGATTTATACCCCGCCCATCTGACCTAAAAGGCCACTCTAGGCAAATGGCATAACTTGCAGCTGCTTCTTTTGATAATCAGTGAGTTCCCAATAAGATTTTTAAGCTTGAGCATTAATCTCTGAAGTTAGGCCATTTGTGTTACACAAGCGTACATAAAATGACACTAAGAATTTGGCTAGTTCCTCATGGCACAGTTGTTAAACCGCTGTACTGCAGCCAAAACTGTGCTCACGACCTGGGGTTCAATCCCAGGTAGCCGGCTTGAGGTTTACTCAGCCTTCTATCCTTCCGAGGTTGGTAAAATGAGGACCCAGCTCACTGGGGGGGTGCAATATATACTCTGCATAACTTGTAAACCGCCCAGAGAGTACATGAAGCACTATGAGGCGGTATATAATCAGCATGCTTTGCTTTGCTTTAAATTTTAATTGTAACTTCATATAGTCTTCCTTAGGCAAGGCTATTGACAGTGCAAGATACTACTGCAGTCTGAAGCAGTACTGATGCCTTTTTAGCATTCTTTTCTTTTTTTGCATTTCTTCACCTTAATTTTTTTTTTCCAGAGAGAAACTGTTATTTCTTTTCTGCCTCAGTTTAAAGCTTACAATACCTTTACCTTGTCATGAGCAGTGTTTTCTTCGGCATTTAAATCTGTCTGCTAAGGAATGTTAAGGCACCATTTTTACCAATCCTATCATAAATCTGCTTCACAGACATCAAACTATCTTGCTCCAGTTTCTACACAACCTCATTGGATTGTTGCCACCCACTTGCAAAATAAAACTCCTAAGGTGGGGCAGCAAGAAAGAATTTGCTGAGCAGCTTGCACAAGCTTTGGTAAAGGAAATGGCCACTCTTCAAAATCCCTTCTCTTCAGGTCTTCAGGCTGAAAACATGTCTCTGGATTATGGTGAGAACAAAGAAACAAACAGTATCACAGCAGTTCAGCGCTTCAGAGAAACTTTTGAAGAGGAACAAAAGCAAAGTAAACTCTGTATGAATCAAACAATGAGTATTGCCTTATACAGAAGACTTGTTTTAAATGTACTTGAATTACAGCTGAGGTCTGACATGATTTCAGGGCAGTGCTGCTCATTCTTCTAATGTCCTCGTGAATTATTTTTTCCTCAGAAGCTGTCACATGATAGTTGCAATTAATTCCTCTTTAGGATGAAGGAAGCTTCTGTTTGGTCATTGTGATTTTGAAAGTAATTGAAAATTATGTTGCAGTTTTTCAAATAGCTGTGGAGGAATAACGGCTTTGCCTGTGCAGAAGTATACTCATCAATATCTCTGCCATCTGTCATAACCCTATATTCATACCCATGCTAGTAAATCTCCACCTAAAACAGCATAAAAGGCAACCCCTGTAAAGGAAAAGAATTTTCCTGACAGCACATTGGATTACACTCTGAACTCTCTGATTTTGTGCCATTTTCAAGAATCAGACAGTATTGTATTTGAAGTATTGCAGGCTTCTGTTTCTTCTACCCAAGACAGATTTTTCTAAGGCTACATTGCCTCTAGAAAAATCTTTGTAGCAGTTGCCTTGTTAGAGTCACTACTATGTATCATAGTACAAGATAATCTAAAGGGTTGTTGGTATACACAGGTTAAAATCCAGTAGAGTTGACCCATTGAATCAGTGGTGATGTGCTGAATCAACACCCATGTAAGTTCCATTGATTCAATGGCCATACTCATCCCAAAGCTGATTATTTCAGTGTCTCTGTTCTGTTTAGGGATGAAAAGGTAAGGGGGCTTCTATTGTCATGAATGGAGGTGTGTGGGGTTTTTAACCCATGTCTCCCTGCACCCCAGTTGTAAGATCAACCCCCCAGGAATGGGGGGAAAATGTCCCCCACCTGTGTGTGCTAGTTCGAGTCTAGATTGGAGGTATATGGACTTACTAAAGTAGAAAATAAAATAAAAGGATCATAAACAATACATATTTCAGGGCCAAAATCCTGCTGTGTAACTGTGCATGCCGAAGTCAGTAGTTGTAATAATGCTGAGACAGAAGTGCTGTCCATGAGGTGCTTCTGCCAGCTGGTACAAATGGTATTGCCAGGGATATGTGACTGATTGTGCAATTGAATAGTGCCATTCCTTCTTCTTGGGCACAACAGCTGGCACACTTATGTAGGAGTAATAAGATTTTGCCCAGTGTGTTATGTAGTTTAATTTGTAGGACAACCACTCTTTGTGTGTTTAATTTTTTGTTTGATGAGATTGGCTGCTTAATATAAGCCATTCTTCCAATTTGTTAATACAGGCTTACTTACCTTAAGCAATGGAGACACCCAGTCCTGGTGAAACTTTTCTGTAAAGTTTCACTGTGAAGGTGGAACTGAATATTTTATGCTAAACGGGGTTGCTGGGATTATGCAAGAATTGTGTGAGTGGGATGGCCCATAGTTTTAAACTGCTGAATGGTTGAATAACACTTTTTTATTATCATGTGACATGTAGCTGGGTTTTTTTTTATTTATTGTAAGAACTGTAAATGACTGGTTTCATGCTTTTTGTTTTCTGTTTTTAAAATATTTATTAAAACTTAACATTTGTTAATTAACATTAACAGTTGTGTTTTCACATCTGTTCATGTGTTGCTTAAAAACTATAATAAATATGTCCCTTATCAATATGATCCATGTAAATGTAATTCTTTTTTTTACCTAAAATTAGTTTGTGTCAATTTTATTTTCCCTCTCTATTATATGTCTCCAAAAAATTGCCTAGAAATTGTGCCGTGTCCTTTTAATCATGACCCAGAAGTGGCATTACCCAGCAACCACAAAGCGAGGGTAGAGTTAGATAAGTCCATGTCCTTTAGCTACACTTAGCTCATAATGATGTTCTGTGGATAAATGCACTCTGTAAAGCACCATGCTTGTTGAAATGCTACAAATACAAAGAAGAAAGTGCTTGTGTAGATTGGCCTGTAGATTGAAATAGGTTTCTTACATTCTTAAAAGCTTATCAAAAACTCCAAAGTGGATCAAAGCCGAGGATGATCATTGTGAAGAGGTCAGCATGGTGAAAATGGAGAGGGGTTTAAGTGCTCTTAGCTGTAGCGCTGAGCCAGAGTAGTTAACTGAAACTGAATTAGCCAGAAGTATTTCTGTTCTTTTAAAACTGCCTCAACAGGTTCATCATCTTTCTGTTAATTTGTTTTAATACTTTTGTGTCATGGCCAAAAATTCCTAGCAGATCCTTTGGTTAGTTATTTCTGCTAAACATGTTAAACCTTCCTTCATATTTTCTCTATAAAGAAGGCCACGGGATCCTAAATGAATGTTAGTTAATCCTTTGGCAAAGATCATCTCACATTTCAAATATGCAAACCCAGCATTTGCTGTTTGATGTTTTTCCCCCTGTGTTGACTCTTTGCAACAACTTCATTCAGCACTTTTCCATTATGTAACTTTTGTCTCGGTGCTGTGGGTCGAAAAGAGTGTTTGCTGTTCCTAACCCATTATTCCTGTGATGTTGCTGGTTTTATTTGGGAAACATATGATATAATATACATTTACTATATGTACAGTATATCACAGAAGTGAGTACACCCCCTCACATTTCATAAACATTTTAGTATATCTTTTGTTGCCAGTGGTTTAGATGTTAATGGCTGTGTATTGCATTATTTTGAGGGGACGGCACATTTACACTGTTATACAAGCTGTATACTCACTACTTTACATTGTAGCCAAGTGTCATTAGTGTTGTCACATGAAAAGATATACTAAAATATTTATGAAATGTGAGGGGGTGTACTCATTTCTGTATTTCTGAGACTTGACCACTGGAGTTCCTTGGCAACTGTCAGTGTTCAGACTATGTTGTTCCTTATTCCATGTATTTGCATAAAACTTAAACTGATTCCACACAGTTATTAAGAGAGTTGTCATCTCATCAATTATTGCTATTTATTCAATTATTGAATATCAATTATTTTTATTTATTATGTATTTAAAATATTTTTATCCTGCCTTTCTCCTTAAAAAGGACCCAAGGCAGCTTACATCATTATTTTGGTAAAAAAAAACTAAGCATGTGTGTAAAGTGTTTCCAGGTTACATCTGGAACAAATACCTTTAACCATTTGGTGACATGTTTATGTTTATTAAAAACTATAGGTAGGATCTGCCAGAAAACCTTGCAGTGTGAAGTGCTTCTTTCTAGGGTTCCCACTACCCAGCCATTCCCACTTCCAGAATGCTTCATGCCTCCTACCTCAGGGCGTCCATTTCCCCCCCGCCAACTTGCAAAACAAGTCATCCAGTGGTCTTCAGCCACATAAGATGCTTAATTATCATGCTGCATTGGAGATATTTTCCCCTTAAGATTGCTGATGGACCCATAGAGAGAAAATAATAAAGCTATTGTTATTGTGTGCTGTCAAGTTGGAATTTACTTACAGCGACCATAATAGGGCTCACAAGGTAAGTGAGATATTTATGGAGTGTTTTGCCAGTTCCACAACCACAGTGAACTTCCACAGCTGAGCGGAGATTTGAACCCAGGCCTCCTGAGTCCTAGTCCATCACTCTGTCACATTAGGCATACCAAGAAAGCTATTAGTGTATGTAATATAAGTTGGTGCTAAATGAATAGAGACAAAAATTGTAATAATTATGTGCTGTCAAGTCAATTCCAATTTATGACCACCCTTTCCAGAGTTTTTTGGGGATATAATACAGTGGTGCTTCGCATAGCGAGCGCCTCGCTATGCGGTGAAACCGCACAGCGAGGGGTTGAGGGCCATCGCCGGAGCGTCCACTCAGCAATGGCCCCTATGGGCTTTTTTCGACCTCGCTATGCGGTGAAACCGCATAGCGAGGGGTTGCGGGCCATCGGCGGAGCGTTCGCTCAGCAATGGCCACTATGGGCTTTTTTCGCTATGCGATGATCGCGCGGACGCAATCAAAGCATAGCGAACAGCTGATCGGCGGTTCCAAAATGGCCGCCGCTAAAACAAAATGGCTACCGCTGTTTTGCCTCGCTAACAAGGGATTCAAAATGCCGCCGCAATGGAGGAACCTCACAGAACGGTGACCGCTGCAATGGAGGAACCTCACAGAACGGTGGGTTTTAAGCCCATAGGAACGTATTAAATCAGTTTTAATACGTTCCTATGGGCTTTTAAAGTTCACTTAGCGATGTTTCGCTGGGCAAGGGTTAATCCGGAACGGATTAACCTCGCTAAGCGAGGCACCACTGTATTTAGAAGTGGTTTACCCTTCCCTTCTTCTGGGGCTGACCTTTGAATGTGCAGCTTGCCCAAGGCCACACAGGCTGGCTCTTTTCTCAGGAGACACAGTGGGGTGATAGAACTCTCAAACTCTAGTACTACAGCGACAAGCCCAATGGATATGTTACTACAGTATTTATTTTAAAGTAGTTTCTTGTGAACAAAAAAACAGAAAAGGGAAAAGTGCTAGTTTGTGAAGTTTGCTGCCACTTAATCTTGTTCTGGAAGCATAGCAAGGATTTTAATTTCCTCTTGGTAGGCAGAAATAATAAAATAGATTGTACCAATTTGTGCTGCAGGCTGGCAACACTGAAAATGGAAAGAAATCACAAGGAGTAGATTCTGGTCTGTAATGTGTTGGGGGGGGGTGTTGGTTGGTTAAAGTATTGTGTTTTTTTTATTTTTACCCTCCCCCCCCATGCAGGAGTATTAAAAATGCAGTTCACCCACCCACAGTGAAATGGTACAATCTGTTTTGCCATCTCATTTCACTGATTGTATAAAACAGTTTTTGTTTTAAGTTTCTAGCATTCAGATCACTGGGGACTAACTGATCTCCATCAGGCGGTGCCTTGGAACAGAATGGTTTTTGTTTGTTTGTTTTTCATAAAACAAATTGGTTCTTATTCCGAGCATGCTTGTGGCATTTCCTCTGTCAAGCAGGCAGACTCAAGCTGTTTAGGATGTAGGCTTGATTAATGTGAAGAAATCTAGCCAAAAAATTAGTGGTCTGTAAAGAGCATGGTAGACAGCAGCATTGTTCACTTGTGTGAGTTGTAGCATGCCATCAAGTTGATTCCAGTTATGGTGACCCTTGTAGGATATCTGAGATATGTGAGGTGTTTAAGGTGTCTTTTTAACAGTGCTGGCTCCACCCCCACCCTGTGCATTTTCATGGCCACGTGGATATTTATTTGAAACCAGATCTTCTGAGCTCTGATCTAACACTTGTCCACTTGCAGGGAGTTTTCTACAAGGTATTTTTAAAATAATCATTTCAATCATTAGTTTAGATCTATGGACTAAAGCTAAGATGGTGAATGAGGTAGGAAGACATATCATCATATTTCAAGATTATCAGAGTCTCATGGAATAAAGAGTAAGACCTCTGTGTTCAATAAGAAAATTCTGTTATTATCACTTTATATTTGCTTAGGTTACTGATACTCAGTCTGTAGTGCTGAAAATAATATTCCCCAAGAACTTGAAATCATAATTGTTTTTTGAGATTCTTAGCATTCATTTACCTGGGGAAACTCCATCTAAATAAACACATCTTGATAAGGCCAGTAATTTCAAAATTAAATACTGCTTCTCATGGGCTGTAGAATATGTTCTGTTATTGCACATAAAGGCCTCCATGGACTTCTGCTTCTGTATGGGGTGGATGCAGCTCATTGCATTTATTCAGAAGCATTTATCCTGTCTTTATAGGACTTTTATGTTGTTCAGAGCTGATTCTAATACAGCACTGCTACAGTAATCTCTTATCCAAGTTAATGGTATACAGAGGAGGAGTTGTCTAGTCTAGCCGATCTTAGGGAAGCAAAGCTGTCTGTCGAAGACGGGGGTTGGAGGCATGTGCTGCAGTGGTCCCAGTCCTTCCCACAGGAGACAAAGTCGGAAGTTGATACTGGGGTCATTTATTTATATACTTGGCCATTGGACTGTGGGGTGCCCTCAGCGTTCAATGTTATCTCCTATGCGAGTTGCTCCCATCCTTGGGTAACCTGGGTGTTTTTGGATTGCAACTCACAGAAACTTGCCTGCACAGCTAGTGGTGAAAGCTTTGGGAAGTTGCAGTCCAAAAACACCAGGGTCACCCAAGGGTGGGAAGCACTGTCCTGTGCTATTTAACGGTTATGTGAAATTGCTGGGAGAGGTCACGGTTCTAGGCTTCAGTGTCAGAGTATGCTGATGATGCTCAACTCGATCTCATCTTTTAATCTAAATCTAAGGAAGCTGCCCTAAACCAGTGTCTGGAGGAGGAAATGAACTGGATCGACAAACTGAATCTTAATCAAGGATTAATCACTAAACATGAAAGTGGTAGGACAAAGAAAAGTCACTTCCCTAGTACTGGAATAAACAGATGCTGGCTGGATAACTCAGTTACTTAGGAGCTGACTGGGGCCAGAGGTTGGGAATCCAGTTCCCCACTGTACTTTATGAGAGAAGGGCCAGCCTATGTAGCCATGGACAAGCTGCACGGTCCCAGGATGCCCTAGAAGAAGGGAATGGTAAACCACTTCT